GCAGTTATGGTTGAGTTAGCTTGCATCAGAGTTATTATCATAAAAATTACATTACTAAATATAGTGACTACAGTATGTGATTTAGTTAGTTTGCATTGGATTATAAGTTAATATAATAAATTCTGTTACAAACTTACTCTCTAATGCATACATATAGTAATTTAGGTTGGTTTAAAATTTATACTAGTAAGATTTTTATAGAACTTGCTCAATATCCTGATAACCAAATTTGTGGTTAAAATTGAGTTAGTTTGCATCATTATTACTATGTGATCAAGGCCAAGTCAGTTGCATTAGAATTATGACTGTAAAAAATTTTGTTACATAACTCACCCATTATATTGATAACTACAATATGTGGTTGAGTTAGATTGCATTAGAATTATGACTGTAAAAAATTCTGTTACATAACTTACCTATTATATTGATAACTACAATATGTGGTTGAGTTAGATTGCATTAAAATTAACATGAGCTACTATAGAAAAAATCTGGTTAGTTTATTTGTAATAATTATTCAACCACAGTTTTTTAACAGTTCGAATACATACATAATTTGTGCTTCAATAAATCGATTAGACCAGTACTGCAGTAAAGTGAAATATTAATTGCTATACCAATAAGATATCATGTGGATGCTGTCTTAAAATTAAATGGATGAACTCTGGGTATTTTTTCTCATTATTATTTTCACACAGTCATACGTATGCATGCATGTACTTACATCAAAAAATGTAATAGCATAATTATGCAATTTGTAAAAGTATTATCATAATAATGTAATGGCATAATTATGTAATTTATAAAAGTATTAACACTTTCTAAAAATGAATAAATGAAAATCATTATTTCTTCCAAAAAAGGAATTTTCAAAAATAGACATAGTGACATCAAAAAGTTGAACGGAACCCACATTCATGTGACGTACTGGTACGTATTATGAATAATCGAATGAGAAGTTGGCTAAAATTTAAAATCCGATTTACTTTAAATAGCAAGCATTGATCTTAATAATGAAGTCATTATAAATGACATCAGAATATCTCTTCGTCAAAGTAAATAATTGAACATGTAAGCCAATAATTTCCTAGGATAAGAGTTAATGCATGATCTACATGCTGCATAAACCTCGTTCTTGATATATAAATATATAAACCTTCTAACTGCATCAAGAAGATAACCCTGATCCTAATTAAATTTCACTCCGCTTTAACCTCACTCTAAAAGATTTTATAAAACAGGTAATGATGGTAATTATCATGATAAAAAATGTACTTTGTATCAACACCAATCAGCTTTAAGATTTTGTTTCGATTTATTCTCCAGTAAAACCATCCACTAACGTTCCCGGTATATTAATTACTATTTAATTATTTATATTATTGGATTTCAATTCACTCAAGCAAAAATTATTTGATGAACACAAATAAATAAGCTCTTAATTTAATTTTGCGTACAAATTATAAACTTGCAGAATCTTTATAGTTTTATTCATAATAATTTAAATAAAACCGGGCGGTGAAACCGCCCGCATAATCAGATCCTAGTTCTACTTGTTTTCGAAATACGCCAATTATTTGTTACAATTCAATTTTAATGATCAAATCAAAAAAAATCAAGTCCATGTAAGAATAATGACAATTTCCTTTTTGGGTTTTATGAAAAAATTTTCTTCAAGCCCTGCATAATAGTAATACAATGCACAAAAAACATTAAAGACGATTACATAGAACATAAATGAGGGGTAGTCTAGAAAAATGGTAATCTAGGAATTTGAGAATTCTCCGATCGGTATCATTTTTATACTAGTACTGTATTTATTAACCATTATCGGCCAATACTGTTAGTTATCATAGTGTCACGAAATTTTGTCTTCGACAAAGTCAGTCGATCTGATCGTCATCACGTGGGTCTTTGCTTTGAAAATGATTATGAATAAAAATTAAAATTTCTAGCCATCTAATAATCCAATTCAACTAATTTTTTTTATTTTGTAGAACTCACTAAGCTCTAAAAAATAAAAAAAAAGGGTTACTGGATAGCTAGAAATTTTAATTTTTATTCATAAAATCTACATAGACCCGTAAGGTCATTTTCAAGGCAAAGGTCCCACGACATTTTGTGACAGTACAATTAATCATCTCTAATTACTCCATTATTGCTACATTTTATTACGCACCGTTACATGGAATCAGAATTTTGTTTTTTTAACAGACCTGTTGGGTTATTCCGGAAATTAAGTTCGCTATCGTGTGATGCCGGATAAATTTACGGAAAAAATTAAATAGCAAAATGGAATAATCGGAGCAATTGGAACTTAAAAAAAAAAAAAAAAGAAAACTGTTTGAAAAATTGGGTCGGCGTGTTATGCAAAACGAAAAATTAACTTTGCGTGGCAAACTTCTACACATTAGTTCCTTACTCTTTCCCGTATTACATTTTTACGACTACTTCATAGTTTGTAATTTAGATCTTTAATTCATTTTTTATCTTATGTAAGTTAGTAAGCGAGCAGTGCACGGAAAAATCAATCGAAAACTTGATTTTCAAGTTCTTGAATCTATCAATTTACGGTGTTGGGCACTACAAATTTTATTTTTAGCAAATATATAAATCTAAATAGGCATCCGACCTTACTTTAGACTTCGTGTAACTTATTATGAAGTTTAAAGTCAGATTAGAGTAAATATAGATTTTGTAATTAAAGCATAATACTGTAAATCGATTGAATTCAAAAACTTAAAATTCAAGTTTTTGTTAAAATTTGCCGAGCACTATAAACGAGAGTGTATATAAAGAGATGGCTTTCGTCAGAGGGAAGGGTAGATCTTATCCGATATGTAGCATTCATATAATAAATACATAACTTGCACATAACGCTTTTTTTTGTACGTAAATACTTTCTTATTTGACGATACATATACGTTTATTACCATACTTCAGTACTTAGTAATCCCCTAACTGTTATACTTTAAAAACCTGTGCTAACAACGTACATGCATAATCAAACCTTAAATACGCATATGACCGACTGGAACTACTAAACTTTAATGTCCTATATTCCCACACTCTCACAAGCGCATTACACACGACCATTTGAATGATTACCCAATAACAGAAAGAGTAGCCCCTTTTATACTCACGGTCTAGAGCTAAAATTCGGCAACAAGGATTGAGAAGTCTCTCCCCAGACCGTAATACAGTAATTTAATTTAACTATAATCACCATATATGTACATAAATGTCAAACTTTGTGTACGTCAAATTGAAAATTTGCGTCAGATCAAAAATAACTACAATGCACCAATACAGTCTACCCTCGTTTACATCAACCTATTTGAATTGGCTTAAATTCATGTTAATAGTGATATTAACAAGGGCTTTATTAAAGTTGGTTTAGCTAGGTTGATATTAATGAGATTGATACTAACGAAGGTAGACTGTACCTACCCTCGCTCTAAAATAAGGTTTCACCCTAACTCTAATAAAACTAATAATCAAATTTTAATCTGTTGCAAATTCCATTGATGAAATTCTTTGTGGTATCACTGATGGTAAGTAAATATTTTGGATTACTAAATTGTACAATTTGTTATAAAAGATTTAATTACCTAAAAAACATAGTGTAAGCTATGCAAATATTATTGTATCAATGGATAATTTGATCGAGGGGTTGCTTTTTTATTTAATGGACATATCTACCATGGTTATTGGTTTAAATCATAGAAAAATAAACCTTCAACATCATTGGTTTAAATCCCAGAAAAACAATCCTTCAATAACATAACGAACTTTTTTTATATAATTATTAGGTAAAATGCTACATAAATCTACATGATCTTATATGATTTTACATAATATAATACTTACAAATATTTATGCATCCTACGGACTTTCAGTAATACTACACAAAAAGTTGCATAAATTTATATAAATTGTTAAGTGACTTTACGCTTACTTAAATTTATATCAAACAGTTACATAATACCTATGTAATGTTACGCAAATATATGGACCTTCGAGGTTCGTGATGTATGTTGATATCTATATATATCTGTTAAATATATTTTCAATATCAGTGCTTTCTCTATATCAAATTTTTTAATGATATATAATGCTTTATATCGATTCTTTGTCGAGTCTCTTCAAATCTATTTTTCTATTGAACATTGTGATTAATGACTACTATAACTACAACCATTAAATATTATTTATGTGTTCCTTTGAATACCATTTCTTTCATTTCTACTATCATCTCATGTGTGACATTTAGTTTAATACGAATATACTACCCTAATCTCGCAGATCGGGTTTCCTTCCGTTTAGCTTTTGCAGCCTCATTCTGCGATGTAGGTTACTCTGGTCATCTTTTGGCTTTTTTTTTTTGGGATACTATTCCCGATTTTTTATGTGGGTACTTGGTAAGGTATTCATTAATTTTCTTATTCAATACAAAACAGCATCTCTTTTGATATTCAATAGTTTCTTTTTTTTTTAATTTCTTAATATTCTTGATCATTTTTATATATGAGACTTGGGCAATTAAATTCTTTAATATTTCTTCTTTATTCTTCATCGTTTGTATAATTTTGGTATGTATTATTAACAATATTTACTGTATTCTTTATATATAATTTATGTTTCATTTGACTTTTTTTTTTTTTTTTTAGAATCTTCATATAATATTTATAAATGAATATAAAAGTCGTTATAATTTTGAAAAATATTATTTTATAATTGCATTATCTTTTGCCCTTTTACTTTCTCTCCTGCCTATTGCCGCTAACATGTTTGACAATGATGGCCTTGAATGGTAAGTATATACATTAGATATATGTATAGTATTTATATTTATTATTTCATATTTATCCATGTTAAAATTTATTATTAGTGATCGTTTGTATTATTATTTGGGTCAAGAAAAAAATTTAATATGGCAATGGATTACTCTTTTTGGTTGGATATATGCATCTATCTTGTATTGTATGATTGTTATAATTATGGTCATTAAAAAACTCAAATCTGTGAAAAAAGAAGTTGATGATATTTTTGGTTCTCTTCCAAATTCTCAGTTAGCCGGTTATTCCCCAATGTTTACTAAGACTGTAATTTCTTTCGTTATCAGAAGGGTTATGTGGTACCCTGTGGTGCCATTAGTAGCTCAATTTTTTGGCTCTTTAATTGAAACATACGCTTATGTTAATAGTGCGGTACCTTATCCTCTAATATTACTTAGCTACATTGGCATATCACTTCAAGGTGAATATATATATACTCTATTTTTTTTATTTGACTATTCTTTGTTTATTTAGCTATGAATGGTTAGTTTTTTAATCTTTCATCTTAGGATTACTGAAAACTTTAGTATTTTCTCAAGATATTGCCGTTACTCGTGCTTTTCAGGCTGTTAAACTACAGTGGTGGATCTCCTATGTTAACTATTATGAGTCCCACTACTCTCATCGATCTTACAACAAAGCTATTACTGAAAAATTTAGCATGCTAGAAATATCCAATAATTTTGTTGACTTGAGAAATTTAAACTCCAGTCAGATTAATATCATTAAAAGCGATATTATCTATGATAATATCATCAATGACGATATTATTAATTATGACAATAATAATAATAATAATAATAATAATACTCGTATTAATAATAGAGTTGATAATAATAATAATAATTTAGTTTCACAACCTTCTCTTTTAGAATGGTCAAGATACATGCTATTAATTAAGCTTTTCTCTGCTCCAAAAACTTCATCTCGATTGGTTTCACATAACCTTCTATCACCGGTAAATTCTTCTTCAGAAAATAAGACCAATACTTCTTCTACTCTGTTTGGAAAGGACAATTCAGGGCAAGCTATAACTCATGACAATCAAAATGATCAAGATATTTATTTAGCTCTTCCTGAACCTGTTCATTTAAAAGATACTTCTCAACATTCCTCAGATTTATTATCTCATCATTTAAACTTATCAATTTCACCAGATCACTTGAAAGATAGTTATAGTCCAACTAATCAAACAAATACAAGTAGTATTAGTGTTTCACTTAATTCTACCGCAAATATGTCAAACTACACGGTTAGTGATGATGAAGAACGGGTTGATGTTATGCTTGCTGATGATGAACCAACAGATATTGATTTATTTAAGGAAATTGAAATGTTTAAACTAATGTTAAAAAGGCTGTGAAAGATTTTTATTAGTATTTGCTGTTTCAAAATTATGTGACAACTACTGTAAATATGCTTTGTGATATTTTATGTTTATAGTTTAAAAGCATTCCTCCTCTATTAAATTCTTCCATAACATATCTGATACGAAATATCGATACATAGCTATAAACCTATCATTTACATACGGAGTGCCTCGTATTAAAAGTAGAGATGGGCAATGCGCGGGATCCCGCGCGTGATTCATCACGTGACTCACGGGATAATTCGGGCCAATACCATAATTCCGGCCGAAATTTACAGTAATCCCGGTAACTTCCCACGAACCCCGCGCGGATCACGCGCGGGATTTTTGGAGAAACTGTGATTTGCCCATCTCTAATTAAAAGTGTCCATTTTGGCATATACCTCATTTTGAGATAATTTAGTTTAATCATTTGTTTTGATTTTCGTACTAATCCGGGATTAATCAAATTTCACGATTTTGATTGGTTAAAGGCAACAGGTGGCTATCGGGTAATCTCGTGACGTGCTTGACCTTAAGCAGCCTAGTGTAATTTTTCTTTTACATTATCTCCATTTTCCATTATGCAAACGACCTTCATTTATAATTGAAAAATGTCAATTGTGTCAAAATTTACATGTATCCAATAAAAACTCATTTTAAATAAACCCTTTTAATTGTACGATTTTTTCGCTAATTTGAGGTTTTTTAAAAGCTCTAGTATAATGCCCAATAAAAGAATATAATCTACTGTAAACAAAGTCTATATAGTTTTTCAACCTTAACATTAAAATTCGTTTATGATAAGTTTACTTAAAAGTACACATGAGTAATTTCGTGTCTCAAATTGGAAACTCCTAATTAGTGAATTGAATAGTATTATGAAATGAATTGATAATATTAGGTTATAATAACTGAATTACGACCATTGTTTGCTTCAAAAACGCCTGATTTCTATATAAAGGTTGCAGACGAATGTATGGAAAAGCAGCCTAACCGTACTATATGTTTACAAAATTTTGCAAGATTAGGTGATAATTCTTGATAAAAATTCAGAACAAAATAAAAAGCAGCTTAAAATTAAAGATCTATTTTTAGACAAAATTATTTCAACATCAGTAACGTCTTTACAATATCAAGATATTAAATATATTAAAAAAATTATTTTATTATTAAATTAAGTGGTTCTTCGCCGCATGAGTAAATAAAGAATATCCCCTTTTCTCACGTAATTAATAAAATATAAGTAAATTTCTCCACCAATTAAACAATTGAATTTTGTGAATAATAGACGGTTCTATTCGGTTTAAAAATAAAATTTTTAAATAGTATCTTAAGCTGTGCTAAACGGTAAATTTATCAAACAAAACGAATAGATAAGAGTAATAGATTATCCAAAACACTTTAATTAATGAATGTTTTTATGACTCATATAGTAAATTAATGCAGAAAAAACGAACTAAGATAATGCATGAAGGTAAATGCTCACGAAACTTGACAGCTTAACTTACATTGATTAATGAACGTTCATATTAAATTAATAGAATAGGTAGGAGATGTTAAATATTTACGACTTAAATAGCTTACCAAAATACTTTTGAATATCTAGTAAATTAATGAAACGAAATGAATTCGGTATGGTAATATATGGTGGTAAATATCCACAACTTGAACAGTTCATCTTAAAAAGTCGATAATGAATATCGTTTTTGCTAATCTATTAAGTTAAGCAAAGATAGAATTAGGGATGTTACGGTCCGCTAAAGACCGGGTTTTAAACCGGTTCACAAACCGGTCCAATCAGTTCACGGTCCATAATTTAGGACCGGTCTATATATCGGTCTATTAATATTTGTCACTTTATGAAGATATTAATGAATAGGTAGTAACACAGGCTCTGTTGCATCGTTACATACGTATACGTACGAATGAAACATTAATTATTATACCCAATTTTAGATATTTTAATAACATCCGTTTAATTTTTTCAGCAAATAAATTATAGTCATTGTATGGGTTATAAAAAATAACTAAATTTGCACGGGGTTACATGGCCGAAGGACATGCCGTGCAAATTTAGTTATTTTATAACCAATATAATAACTATTTTATTGCACGGTGTCTGACGTACAATCCCGTGCAATAAGTAAATGAAAAAAGCACGGATTGTTACATAAGAACCGTGCAATAAATAAACTAATATGAACTAGAAAACATGCATTTATTTATTCGAATATTATAAACAAATATATACAACTTACTCTCGTTATAGTGAAGTCCCCGGGCTAAGAAAAAAATTCTTACTATCAAGAGAATAAGTATACAGTATTCACTATATCGAGTTGGAGTTCACTATATCGAATCTTCACTATAACGAGAGTGAGTTGTAGTTTAATATTTAATAATATTAAAATGTAGCGATTTAATTTTAATTTAACCCAAATTCAGCATCTAACATTAATTCTAACCTAAATTTAGTGTTTGGATCCGTTTAAAAAATCCTGTGGATTTTCTATTAGATATTCGTTTATATCGGATAACAAAAAAAATATTTGCTGATACTTCAATTAATAATAATAATGAATGAATGACATATTTTTATACATAACATTGAATAGAGAATTCTTTCTTATAAAATACATATTTTATCTTGAGTGCAAAACTGTTTTTTTTACATACTTATTCATAATTGTAATAATAGATAGTGAAGATTATTTATTTAGCGAAATTTCAAGTGAAATTTCTCTGAGTTGCTCAAATAATAATATTTTATTATTTGTTAGCATTATTTTTCAGAATTATATTACAATGTATATGCATTAATGATATTAATAAAATACATATTCTGATTGCGGCTAGATTTTTTTTAATAATTCTTATAGTAAAAATTTGGTAAGATTGATAAAAATTTTCTATTTAGATTGTTATAAAAAGTTGATTAGATCTAGAATCAACTATATTTTTGATTAATTCAACAAATTTCATTATCCACCAGATTCAAGCTCTATCTAAATTCATTTGTTTAAATAAATATAATTCAATTCAATTCAATCAAAAACTAAAAATTTAGAATTTCAACTTCCCTTGGCAAATTTTATAATTTATTACAAAAAAACCTCTATAAACACAAACACTATAAATTTACAATCTATGTAAATTATCTCTAGTCCAAATATATATATGATCTTCATATGTATTTTTTTTTTATTGTGCTCTAAATACATACTGACAAGTTTGGTACAAGAACATCATTATAAAGGTTTGCTATATTATACTTTATAAATACATCTTTTCAAGTACACAGCTTGCTTTCATTATAGTTGAGAAGAGAGAATTACTAATAGTATGGCACAATAAATATCTACTATACAGTATAATATAGTTTTTGTGATTTTAGAAAAGCTGCTAGCTGTTAACTTAATAAGTCAAGTAATAAAAAATCATAGTCATACATGTTAATAATAAAAAAAAAATAACAATACTAAACTTAGTGAGACTATAAGAATAGCTATATAAACAATTATAAAAATCTAATGTAAATTCTAAATACAACTTTGAATTCATGCAAAAAAAAAATAAAAGATTATTAATTGATAATCCATTTGTCATCTGAAGGGGATCTGCAAATTTTATAAATAAAGTTTACTATTGATAAAAATGTGGTGAGCCTAAATCCAAAATTTTTTTTTACTAAGCTAATCAATTTTGTCAATTAATTGAAAGCTGTAGAGCTTATCAAGATGCATCTAATGGTGGTAAGAGCATCAAAATCGGCCTAGTGGTTCTTGAGATATCTTTAAAAAATATCATGCGCACATATAAAATTTTTTTAAAAAAAGTCTTCTTTTTTAAAAGAATTTTATATGTGTGCAAGATGTTTTTTAAAGATATCTCAAGAACCACTAGGTCAATTTTGATGCTCTTACTGCATTAGATGTGTCTTGATAAGCTCTACAACTTTCAATTAATTAACAAAATTAATTAGCTTAGTAAAAAAAAGTTTTAGATTTAGGCTCACCACATTTCTATCAATAGTAAACTTTATTTATAAAATTTTGCAGATCCTTTTCAGGTAACAAATAGATCATCAATTAAATATAAAATCAATATATAGTTGTTCATGTCAATAATTAAAATAAAATAATACTAAATATAGTAATAGAGATTGGAATCAAATTTAATTTATAAATTTAATTTTTTTAAAATAAATTTAAATTAATTTGAATAAATTATATAAGTTCATATTAATTTATATTGATTTATATAAAATTGTTATACATTATTATGCATAAATATGCAAGATTATGTAAGATTATGCAATACTATATAAGCTTATATATAATCATGTATATGTATTTATATGCATAATTCTGCATAATCTCACATAATCTTATATAATCTTCCATAAATATATTTTATATAAATTTATATGAATTTATATAAATTTATATAGTTTATTCAAATTAATTCGAATTAAACTTTAAATTTTTTTTTTTTTTTTTTTTTTTTTTTTTAACAATTCGGCAATCTTGCCTTCACTTTATTAGGCTTTGTAATAATTATCTAAACTATTAAAATTTTCTACAGAAATATACTCTATAGTACCTAAATTACAAGTGGAGACTCACCCGGTTGCTCACTGAGTACCTATGTGCGACCTGCTATAGTAAGATTCGCCTTTGTATTATTTTATTTTGCAATTGGCTTCAATAATATGTCACTAGCTAGATCTTACTGCCTATCAAGACTACATATTAATTTTCTACCAATCTGTCCGTTAATCTTCTTCTATCCACCTTAATACCTCTTTTTTAGTTATTTAACCCCATCTTTTATCTTCTTCTTCATTCTCATCCTTTTCTTTTTTCCTAGTACGTTTATCTGGTGGTTTCTTCTTCTTCTTTACCTTTCTTGCCTTTCTGTGCGAATTTCTTTTATCTTTGGGTCCAATTTTATTCTCTTTCTACCATTCTTGCACTAGTTTACATCTTGCAACCTATATTCTCTCGTAGACTTCTTTTATCTAATTCTTCCAAAGTCCACCTAGAAAGCTCTTTGCTTGGTTATTTGAGTTAAAAAGAGGTCTCAACTCATCAAAGTCTTCTTTTGTGATTAGGCCTCTAATCCATCTTTTTCTTCTATATAATTCTTCAGCTTGGGATTCCTTTCCTAGCATTATTAAGACTTTTTCTTTGGTTGTCTCTGTGCTTTTAATTCCTGTAAGGTTGCTTCTACAACTTGTTCCTCTAAATCATGGAGAAGGTTCAGAGACATTTTACAGCTTACCAAGTGTTCTACATTCTCTTTCTTTTTTTTACATATAACACATTTGGCTGTCTTGTATTTTTTTGGTCTTCTCTGATTGAGTTTCTCAAAAACTGGGAGCATATTGTTTATACACTTTATTTCAAAGAGCTGTAATATATTTAATTTGAAAGTATGGTTTCATTGTCTGGTTCCGCTTCTCAATATGTTGCACAGCATGGACCAAGATTGAGTGCTCTTTCTTTCTTGATAAGTCTCATCATGCGTATTATGTAAGAAAGCCCATTCTGCTTTCAATAGCACTCTCCCCAACATTTTGACAAAGGAATGAATAGGCTTTTCAACTAATTTATCTTCTCACATGTATCTTATTTTGTGGCCTTTCATGTATAATGTTTCTGGGTTTAGGTACTCTGTTAACTTGGAACCTTATTTTGCTTTCAAATCTGTGAGATCATTAAAAATATCGCCTGAGTGACCCTTGATCTTTATAAAGTGTGTGTTTAACTCCTTTGTCTTAATCACCTCTACAATTGTTGTTACCAAACTACAATTCTTAGTCTTTAACCAAGGTCTTATTTTGTCAGTTTCCAGGCCCCTTTTGATTGCTAATATTGCTGCTTTACTATCTGTCCTTATCTCTACTCTTCTTCCTCAAAATAAAGTTAGTAATGCAAATAATATTGCTACTATTTCTGCTCTTGTAGATGAGAACCAACTCTTTGTTGTACAAGACATTTGTTGTAATAGCTGACCTGTTTCTGTGGTTTGAATTACTCCACATCTCATTACTAATTTTTCTTCCTCCTCAGCAGTACCAAGTGAGCCATCTGTATAAAAAAATAAACTATCTAATTCTCTATTTTGTTCTAAATTTTCTGCTATTCTAGATCTAATTGCATTATCCTGAACTATTCTATTAATTAAAACCTTTTCTCAACATTCACACTCTATACCTATTTTACCCTTCTCTTTTATTCTTTTCTTTTTTTTGCTTTAACAAGCACTTTCTCTTCTTTTTTACCAACTACCCCTTCTATGTGACTTTTTTCAAAGATCAACCTTGCCCCCTTTTCTGTGTTTTGAACTATGTTTGAAATGTCTCTAAGTTTTCTACATTTAACCATGTGAGTTTCACTTTTTTCATCAATTTTTAATAACTGCTGCAATTCATTTTCATGACAATATGTTGTTTCTTTGTATTTTTCAACTTCTATATAAGCATTTTCTTTTTTTTTAACCTTTCCTACATTAATTGCTGCATTTGCTTCATCTCTCCAACAAACTCATTCTTTCATTCTTTTGTTGGTACTTGGTTCCTTTGTCTCTAAGCTAAATGTATTAATATTATTTGCTTCACAGTTATATCTATTTTTGACTACTTGTGTAAAAGGATTTTCAAGTATTTCTCTTTCTAATCTAGCAAACCAGCCTGCTTTTTTTCCTTTTAAACTCTTGCCACCTGCAAATTTAACTTGATTCCATATATACATTGTTTTACTATCTTTTGCAATGAGCTGTGAAACCAAAGTTAGACCCAGGCTACTCGCTTTCATTTCTTCATAAGCTATGTTTAAACACTCAAAAACACATGCGATCTCTTCATCATTTGCCGCTTGTGTAATGTCTAAGTTCCAACATTTTGTAATTTCATTTTCTTCTATTACAAAACCTAGAGTATGTGCTTGTTGCAAAATATTCATTCCTAAATTGTGATCTTTTGTTCCTTTTGCTAATATATTCTGATTTGTTAAAATACAGTTCAGAAATCTTGCTCTTAACTGGCCTTGTTTTAACTTTCTTGCCGAGATTCTTTTAATAAACCTGGTGTATTTAGTCTAACCAGTAGCTCTGATATGTGATGTTCTATATGTCTATTCCAAAGACTTTTAAGATCCATTATCTCTGGATGTTTTGTTATTATGTTTACTATCGTGGAAGGCATTGACATTTTCCATTTTATCAGACGAATTATTAGTTGATGTATTCTCTCACACTGTGCTTTAGTTAGACATGAGATCATTAATCTATACTCTAGAGTAGGTATAAGAATTGCATTGTTCACGTAAAAATCTGGCTTAAAGACATCTGTTTGTACTTTAATAGGCCTGTGATCTTGTCTACTATGCTTTTTGCTTTGAATATATCAGACCTCCTCTAGTTCTTGGTTGAGATCCAGACCCCTAAGAATCTTGTAGCTTCTTTAGGATCTTTTGCCATAATTTTAATTCTCGAGTTGCCCATCCAGATTGCGGAATCTTCTGCATGCTTCTTTTTACCCAGTTTTAATACTTTGAGTTCAGTCTTGTTCAGATTAATTTCAATATTATTTAACTTGTAAAACTCTTGTGTAATGTCGATTGTACTTTGTATGCTTTCCTGACTGTTTGTCAACTATGTTGTGTCATTGCATATGCTAATACTCCTACTCTAATATTTGCTTCAGTGTTCCTTGAGTTCATATGTGTTTCTGTACTATGCATTTTGTAACCTAGCTCAGCTTTTTGTACTCCACAAAGCAAAGAATCATAAAAAATCCTCCAAACCAAAGGAGACAGTATCTCTCCTTGGTCTATACCATCTCCTGCTTTTATAAAATCTGTATTTCCGAACTCTGTTATAATGCTAAGCTGTCTATTCTTATATAACTCCATTATTATCCAAATTATTTTTGCTGGGAGTTTAATTCTTTCTAGAGCTTTTTTAAGTGAGACCATACTGACTGAGTCAAATGCTTTTTTCATATCTTGAAATGTAACTCAAAGCTCTTTTTTTATTCCTACTGCTTCTTCTATTATATTGTTCATTATATGGATAGGGGTCGATGTACTTTCCCCAAACAAGCCTGCGAAGTTTGCTCCTTTCAATATACCGTAAACTACCATATACAAGACCCAGTGTGACAAATAATATAGATATATTTTTAAAATATTATTTATGCATTACGTGATACATAATACACGTGATTTAAAAATTTTTCAATTGTAAAAAATTGCATCACACTGGGTCTTGTATATGGCAATTTACGGTACTATTTTTGCTTAGTATCTTATCTAGCCTTATTTGGAGCATTCATGTTAAAACTTTTTTACATGTTTCAAGTAATACTATGGGTCTCATATTGCTTAGATTATATTCTCATAAACTATTTTTTGGGATTAGATATATCTGACCAAGTTTCCACTTGTCTGGAATCTTGCTTTGTTCGAGAATTGCATTTATTAGTACTAGTAATTATTAAACTTTAAATTAATTGATTTAAATATTCAATTAATTAAATATTCAATTCCAACCTTTAAATAGTAAATAGCTGTGTAAATAATCTAATATAAATTCTAAATAAAACTTCAAATTTATACTAAAAAGAATATTAAATATGTAAAAAATAAAAAAAATAGAAATAGAAAGAAAATTAAATGATACACTTTCCATTATCAATCTAAAAGTATTATCTACAATAAATTTTGTTGTATTCAAAAGAAAATAATAAAATAAAAAAATCATAAAAATACAATTAATAAAAATATTTTGAAATAATATAAATAACTCACTTTTTCACCTTCAAGTTAAAATCCTTACTTGATAACAAAGTTATACTATATACTTATCATTAACCCTATATATTTGCTTATAAATAAATACATATTGTTAGTTTATAAAGATAGATAAACCAAATTAGAAAATAATATATTTTAGAATAATCTTGATAATATGTCAGATGATTTTTTAAGTCAAGTTTTTGAACTATTTTTTTCAAAGCCATCTCTTAGTAATTCTTTTCAAGTTAACTATTCAAATCTTAAATCATCAATCTGGATATATTTTGACAAAAAAATAGCTGAATATTCTGGTAAATTAGTTTGTCTTAAATACAATAAAGTATATAATAGTTCTACTGAAGTCTCAAGATTAGAAAAACATTTTAATAGGCACTATATAAAGTTATATATAAAAAAGTAAGCTACAATTAAAGTTTTTTAAACTGATTACTACAATAAATAGAAGCAAAAAAAAACAGAATAATAAGTTGATTATTTGGCTAATTATAGACCAAAAACTATTTAGACAAATTGAAAATCAGCATTTTTATAAATTTGCAAAAATTTTAGATTACTGTTATATCATTCCTACTAGACAAACAGTAAAAATATGATCATTAATAAATTTAATAAATCGTATAAACAAATTAAAAATTATGTTAGGCATATCTCTGTTAAAGTCTCATTTATAGCTGATATATAGAAATCATTAAATAATAATACTTTTTTGGATCTTTTCATTTATTATGTGAATGCTAATTAGAGACTTTAATATTTTTTATTAGATATAATTTCTTTCTTAGTTAGATATACATATCAGATACTATTGTTCTGTTCTTAAAGGATTTGAGTTAAACAATAAGAAAGTTTTCAAAAATCAGCCGATTTATTTTTATTAATAGGCTACTTCCACCTACTCATGCCTGATACCTTATTAGCCAATCAAATTTTATAAAATTATTATAATAAATATTTAAAATTAATAATTAATAACTTGATCTACTAAACCAATTTGGATAATTTAATTACCAAAATGATTCTTTCAAAGAAGAGATTCTAACAAGTCTAAAATAATAAAAATACAATTACTAGATTTTAAGATTAATTTATATTTGTATATTATAGTTATCTCTCTTTCCATATAATTACATTATAGGTAATCACATTATTATTTAATTTAAACTATTATTTAATTTATAAAAAAAAATTTTCATATAAGCACAACCCCTTTGTAAACACATTTTAAAAAAAGTTACTATGTGCCCAACTGTGTGATTATATGGAAGGACGACTGTATAAACTATATTATATACTGTATAATATATACTATAGTCAGACCTCCCTAAATGCAACTTCTCTAAATGCATATCTATATAAAATCTTTTTAAATGTATACTTTTTTTTTAGTCTAACTTAATATTATACTTATAGATTTTTATTTTTCTAAATGTATAAACTTTCTAAATACATGCTTTTAAATTTTTTTACTATAGTCATGATACTATGCATTTAGAGAGAGTTGATTGTATATAGTATAATAGTATACAAATTTAAATAGATCTTATGATTTAGTAATTAGATTTTTATAATTTTAGGCTTGTTGGGATTTCCTCTTTAAAAGAATTATTTTAGTAATTAAACTATTCAAATTGGACCAATAAGTTAAAAGTTATTTAATATTAAATTTTAAAATTTAATATTAATTAATGATTCTCTAGTCAACTGAAGAATAAATATAGTATAACATATTGCAGTTTACAATATAAATCTAATATAGGCTGAATATGAAATTTGTTCAAAAAAACTTTTTTATACTAAGTTAATTAATCCTGTCAATTAATTAAAGTTGTAGAGCTCATCTTTGCAGTTCTAATAGTAGTTAAATAATCTAAATCAGCTTTGTAGATGCTAAGATATCTTTAAAAAATGTTTTCTTATTAACTATATAAACTTTTTTAAAATAATACTATTGTTTTACAATAAAGTTTATATAGTTAAAAAAACTATTTTTTAAAGATATCTTGTCATTTACAAGATCAATTTAAATAATTTAACTATTATTAAAACTGCAAAGATGAGCTTTACAACTTTTAATTAATTGACATGATCAATTAGCTTAGTACAAATAAAGTATTCCTTGGACAAATTTTATATTCAGCCTATATTAAATTTATATAGAGTCATGTTATACTATATTTATTTTTCAGTTTACTAGAGAATCATCAATTAAATAACTTTTGATTTACTAGGTCAATTTGGATAATTTAACTACCAAAATGATTTTTTTAAAGAGAAAATTTTAACAAGCCTAAATTATAAAAATATAATTACTAGATTCTAAGATTAATTTAGATTTGTATACTATTATGCTACTATATATATTACTATATACAGTATATAGAATAGTATATATAATAATATAACAAAAAATACAAGGAATACAACAAAATTTTGTTTTTTCAAGCTGTACTCTTTTACTTGAATAAATGGTTCTCCTCTTTTCTTACTCTCGCTTCCCTATCAGTCTTCCAAATTTTTTTTTCAAAAAAGTGAGAGATTTGGCTTACCCCCTTTAAAACATCGACATAGTTTACTTTCTAAATTTGAACAACCTAATGAATTGCAACCACGTGTTTTACAGATATGGCACACTAGAATCAGGCTCCTAGCATAGAACCCCTAATAATAGCAGCAGGTGGCTTGCAATACGGGTCTACGGATAGCAGCAGCATCTGGCTTGAAATACGAATTAGGATAGGTATGACATAGTTATTTAGAATCAATTAGAAGTTTGAAAAGAAGAATCAAATGTTAAGGCTATAGATACTGGTGAAATTAATTTCACCAATTTCACCAATTCACCACCAATTTTACCAATAGTGGTGAAATTATTTCACTACATTTTACCATATTTCACCAGCATCTATAGTTAAGGCAAAGCTTTACAACAAGGATATACAAATATTGTATTTGTTATATAATTTTTATACTTATCTGGATAGGTTATAACAGTATATTTTCTTTTTCTTTCTTTGGGTGCATCTATCAGGACTATCCTATTCTTTTTTTTGCTTTTTTCATCTTTTTCCTATTATGTTAGAAATTTGTTTAGGATTTATCTTTTTTTTTGATTATGTTTTTTTTTTCTTTTTTTTCTGTTTTTCTCTTTCTTTTCCTAGATATAGTTTTTTTTCTTTCATAAATGTGGCATATATTTTTTTCTTATAGAAAAGTAAGAGATTAACTATTTTGTCTGAATCTAGGTTGAAAAGGTTTTAAAGAAGGAATAGGTAGTCTTAATAGGCCGGTAGAAACCTTCTAGTGAAGTTTTATTTTTTTCAAGTGCAGAAGGGAATATTATGAAGGAGAATTCTGCCTATAGCAAATTGCATATAGGTAATTTGGACTTCAGTTACAAAGAGCCGGGTGAGCTAATATTTGTAATTTAGGCATTGTAAAAACTTGATCTTTAGAGACTCATTTTTCAAAAATTTGTAATATTTCTCAGTATAATATTATCAAGCCTAATAAAGTAGAGGCAAAATTGCCAAATTGTTTAAATATATATATATATATATATATAATAATATACAAATATAGATTAATCTTAGAATTTAATAATTGTATTTTATGATTTTAGACTTATTAGCATTTTCTCTTAGAAAGAATTATTTTAATAGATATAATTATTCAAATTGATTTAGTAGATTAAACGTTATTAATTATTAAACTTTATTAATAAATTTATAATTTTGACTAAAAAAAAACTTAATTTTGGCAAGTGGTAGAGTTGTTACACCCTAAGCAAGCAAGGTACCAAGTTTGAATTCCAATCGTAATTATTTGAATAAAACTATTTGTATTATAGTAACAAATCTTCATCAAGTTCTATAGAGTTGCTAAGAACTAAAATAAGAGCAATAAGTATGTAATGGGTGTCTAATTAGAAAGGTTGATGCTTGAAAAACATCTATAGAACAGTAGCATTCCAAAAGGTGGCATGAGATATGAATATGGAATAACAGATTAATATGTACTAATTAGAAAGAAATTATAGAAATATGCAGAGGAATACATATGTGGAACATGTACTGCTCTGTTAGGTTTACCTCAAGGATAGTTAAGTGTCCTAAAATAGAGTACTGAATTCTAAATGAGGCGATACCAAAATCTACTTAGTTTAGTGAGGAAGTCACTTAGATTAGAAAGCAGACAATGGTAGTTAAAGCCAGATGGTTTAAATAAATACTCCCATAGTTGAGGTACAGATACAGCAGATAGTATGAAACCCTTAGTATAGCACTAACACTTTGGGCAGACTACTTAAATTAGACACCAAAAATGCATGTGTGGCTTGATGTAATTACAATATAAAATATTGTTTATACTTTAATAAAAGGTTCCTCAGACTAATGAGATCATCTTAATACCAAAAAAAAAACTTAATCTAATTACATAGAAATAATGATAATTTTAATGCAAACTAAATTTGATTATAAACTGTAATTATTGAAGGGAGTATTGCAACAAAATTTTTAAATAATTCTAATATAAACTATTTTAACTTTACTATATACTGTAGCTATCTGAATAGCAAATAGAGATTAATTTTATTACACCATTTTTTAATTTCCTTATATTTAAAGTAAAACAGCTAAAATTATGGTTAGAGCTAGAGTTAAAGTTAGTAAATAGGCAAGATTATAGGTAAAATTGCTCTTTCAACATTTTTTATTAATACTCCAAAGCATGTTAGACACTCATTTTTTTGTATTTTCGGCTTTTTGCTTTTTTTTGCTTATAAAATTGGTGATTTGATTGGTCGATTAATATAAATCTCCCAAATAAGGAAATTGAAAAATGGTGCGATAAAATGGGTTACAAATAGGTTTAGAAAGTTTATTTCATAAATAGTTTACCAACATGGCAATTGATTCATAGACAATTATATTTCAACAATATGATTTATTAACAAGTAATTTACTTCACTATAGCTTATTTTTAGGTGACTATTTTCCAACAGGCTATTTAACTAACATTATGTAGATTTAGGTCTGTATTTTATTAGTTGTAAGTATATGTATTAGTAATTAAACTTGTTATGAAATAAGCTTGTCAATATAGTAATTATCTGTAAATCAATTTTAGATAAGCTAAACCATTAAATATGTAGTAAAATAATTGTCTATAAAATGAAATGTCAATGAAATAACTAATTTATATTTATAAATTTATATACCCAATAGATCAAATCTAATATAGATAACACCTACTCAAAATCAATTAATTATTTATTAATACTATATTTGATTCTAGCCAAGCTTTATTAGGCTATGCAAAGTTAATTTTTCGTTTTGCATTATATGGATTTCAAAATCAACGGTTGGTCAGTCAAATATTT